GGAGCTGAAAGCCACGGTGCTGCAGCTGCGGGAGACCGTCCTGCAGCAGAAGGAGACCATCGGGAGCCAGCGGGAGGCCATCCGGGAGCTCACCGGCAAGCTGAGCCGCTGCGAGAGCGCCGACGGCAAGTCCGACACGGGGACGTGGAAGAAAGAGCTGGGCAGGGGCAAGGACACCATGGGCGACCTGCCGCGGGACCCGGCGCAGGTCATCGACCAGCTGAGCCGCACCATGCAGACCCTGAAGGACCGGCTGGAGAGCCTGGAGGTAGGCCCAGGGCGCGGGGTGGGCCAGCCTCCCAGCCCCCCCATGTAGAAACTTGGAGCGACTTAGCCAATAACAGTGGCTTTGGACCGCTGGGTGGACGCAACAGTGTGCCTAATCTTTACGGAGATAAATCCAAACTGGCCAAGCCCTGGGAGTGAGTGGCTCGGTTGGCTTGTCTTGTTTTCTTGATTATTTATCTCCTCACTTTAATGGTAAAAAACCTGAAGGGCTCCTCTGTGAATGTATTCTCCCAGTGCGTGGGGGGAGACTATGGTTTTCCTGCTTGTCACCAGATTAGTTTCTGTATTAATATGTCTAAATCTCTTTTTCTGGGAATGTGACTTCATGGGGGTTGAGATATAAAGCTGACGTCTTGGGCAGTAAGACCTTGGCATGTGATGCTGAACAGATCAGTGGTAATGAGGAGATTGTGTTGGGCAGATTGTGAAGATAACATGATGTATTTAGAGCTGACGTAGAATAAAAAGAACCTGATTCTCTATGCCTGTGACTAGAAAGGGGATTTGGTCCAAGCCCACCGATAAGTGATTTCCATGAGCTTTTGGACAGTGCCCGTGGTTGGGTGGCACGCATGGAAATATTTTATAGAGAGTATTCCCACAGGAATCGTGCTGGATGTTGTGTTTTGCTTTCCACACCCTGAGAGCTACATGCGTGTCCTCCTGCTGTCCTCCAAACAGTCAGTGATGTTGGTGAGGATGGCGAGTAGCTTCCTAAAGGTTATTCTGTGAGGTCTGAACACTCTGGACTGCTTTTCAAGTACAGTTTTGAATGATCTGGTAGCGTAACATCCTTTTACTACTGTTGCTGTCTTTTTGAGGCTTTTTTTTTAGGGTTGTAGAATGGAAACTCCACTAGAATAATATGGTAGGTGGAACCGTTGGTTTCTTAATATCCTTAAAGATAGCAGTGTTATTTGAGAGAGAGTGTGTGTTTTGCAGTTTAAAGAAAAATACTTTTACTGGCTAATACTTACAGCTGATCTAAAGAGCATCTGACTTCTTTACTCTGCAAATCAAAACTGAGGAAACTTTCATTTGGTAAATTTGCTTTCGAAGTAGCTTAAATTTTTATTTAAAAAGAAGTAATAGTTTTTCTGTTCACTTAAGTTGGCAATGTCACTTGCAGTAGGTAAAGCAAAAATTGACTAATGTGCCACATGTACCCATACTAATGGAAGTGCATCAGACCTGGCTTCCTACATTGATTTTATTGAACTTAAATGTATGAAGACTCCTTCATATGAAATGCTGGAAGCCTCTAACAAAATTGCCCTTTTGTGTCAGGACCTGTTTTGCTACAGTGCTGATAAAAGAACTGAACATGATAAGTGCTGAAAAGCAATGCCTCTTTTGTATTGTTGTGGTTTAACCCCAGCTGGCAGCTAAGCCCGACCCAGCCGCTCGCTCACTCCCCCCCAGTAGGATGGGGGAGGGAATCGGAAGGGTAAAAGTGAGAAAACTCATGGGTTGAGATAAAGACAGTTTAATAGGTAAAGCAAAAGCTGCGCACGCAAGCAAAGCAAAACAAGGAATTCATTCACTCCTTCCCATCGGCAGGCAGGTGTTCAGCCATCGCCAGGAAAGCAGGGCTCCATCACGCGTAACGGTTACCTGGGAAGACAAATGCCATCACTCTGAACGTTCCCCCCTTCCTGCTCCTTCCCCCAGCTTTGTATGCTGAGCGTGATGCCATATGGTGTGGAATGTCCCTGTGGTCAGTTGGGGTCAGCTGTCCCGGCTGTGTCCCCTCCCAACTTCTTGTGCACCCCCAGCACTCGCTGGTGGGGTGGGGTGAGAAGCAGAAAAGGCCTTGACTCTGTGTCAGCACTGCTCAGCAGTAATGAAAACATCCCTGTGTTACCAACACTGTTTTCAGCGCAAATCCAAAACATAGCCCCTTACTGGCTACTGTGAAGAAAATTAACTCTACCCCAGCCAAAACCAGCATATGTACTTGCTGGAGAACTCAGCGATCTTGCTTTCTTCCCTTTGAATCAGGCGCGTATCCACATTTCACAGTTTCTGTTTTAGAAATGATAATTTTTTTTTCCTTCTTATTTCCCCTAAAGCACCAACTCCGAGCCAACGTGTCATATGCAGCACTGCCTAATGACCTTCGAGAGATGCTTCAGCGGAGGCTTGGAGACCTGGAACGCCAACTCCTGAGCAAAGTGGCTGAGCTTGAGGATGAAAAGTCTTTGCTTCATAATGAGACGTCAGCCCATCGGCACAGGACAGAGACAGC